CTCCTACGCACTGCGACACATCGTTAGCTTCCATTAACTATTTTACAATGAATCAAAAGAAATTATAAGAGTATTTCGAAAGCAACGTACTTTAGACCGTCAGGTCCGATCATCCGCACGAAAAAATAGTGCACCGGCAGAGACAGTGTGGCGCTGTCTAGGCCTGGTCCGTAGGCGATGCAGGTAACTTCCGGCACAACTTCTGCTTCGACCCATGAAAAAATGTTACATAAAAGGCCACATAACATTAGGATTGACCTAAAGCGCCCAAAAAACTCCATTATGTTAATTTTCCAATAACGACGAAGACTGCAGAAACGCTGAGTCACCAAAACACTATTCGACCAACCGTCATCGCATGAGAAAGACCATTCCAGTGCAAGTACTTCCGGAGAGCACCGCCGCTGTAATCACGCTACCGGCCAACGAAAACATGTCGCTTTTCAATCTCTTCAATCTGTAACATCAAACTGATGTAATACAGTGGCACTTCTTGCAACATGAAGACAAATCACAGGAATGTTGCCGTCAACGGGACACTTAGCATTGTACTCCAACAATGCTACACCGCGCGTAAGCATCTCTACTGACAGACAGCCGTTACGACCGATAATCGACAAAAGCGATGTCTAAGTACTTGATGTGCTTGATCCATGTCAAAACCATCACAGATGTGATCTGTCTCTCTAGAGAAACAGCGACTCTCGAGCAACATACGGTACGGTCGCGAACCTTGTCCAACCTCATCGCACAAGCAGTCCTTTGTGAAAACCTCATTTCTGAATATCGAAAGACAGGGGCTCTTCATAGGTGTGACTTGAAATAAGTTATAATCTCATTTCTAAAACATGTATAGGGATCTCGGTCTTTCGGTCAATACGCGGCAATAGTCGCCATAGGTCAAAACAAATACGTAGGAAAAACGTAACAAAAAATATGCTTCCGATTAAAATAAAAATGATAATAAGGAAACAAAAATATGCTAGCGACAATCGCCTCGCAAAATTTGCCCTAATGGCGCAAGTCTGAAACCACTAGAGAAATCTAGGCAGCCCGCCCTCCTCCCATTGCACAGACCAGAAAGTATAGCGGACTGTAATGAAGGATGGTCAGCTGGATAACGTACCACTTACCATCTCCTGTGAGAAAGGAAAGGGAAAGAATCAAGGGAAAGGGTACAAGGGAAAGAATTAAGGTAACGACCGTAAATTCTTTACTCATTACACAGCTGTTTCTGAAGTAAAATTCCCATTAAGCTAAGCATTCAGATTTAGGTACCTTGGCGCGATCATTATGAGCACAGAAAAGCCTGACGAGGAGATGAGTACTAGATGTCGTGATCCTTCGTTCAGAAACAAACTGAAACACAGCACGGATCTAAAAATAAATGAGAAAAACTTGCCACCGCTATTACTCATGTGACAGTATGGCAGCCACGTGTGAACGCGAAGACCCGAACCAAACAGCAAAAAGATTCCAGGCTTAACCATTAATACTCTATATTTGTGTTTCTTCAAACAATACTTATGGTGCATCGAAAAACTGACGCCAATTTCCTGAAGACCACAGAAAGCGACGAAGGTAATGGCCAAAATCAAATGGAGGAAAGAAAAAAACATGGTCTTCAATTTACCTACAGGATTACTTTTTATATAAAAATATACTCAGCATACCTCGACGTAACCTTTCTAGCTAAACATGGCTAACTGTCAAGGTACGAACAGGAAAAACGTATTATTGCGCACCTGGTTGCCTCTTTTGTCTAGTCATACAACGGAAGACTGAATGCAAAAAGAGAAAAAATGGCAAGGAAAGATACACTATTACAAAGTAAATGATAGCTCAAAATGTGAATACCCTCAAACATGCAACCGTGGTTCATGACAGCGGAAAACTGTTCAACACGGAAAATTTAGCTCTGAACCCCATCCGTGTCTAATATAGGGAAGAAAACATTCCTGCAGTTTGGAAACACTGTGCTGATATCACAGTATTGCTCAAACAATTTCTCATCCTTAATTTCAAGCCAATTCATTACGATCAGTACACACTAAACATGCGACTGTTCTTTACATGCACCGTAGTTTGAAATAATGTGCAAGTATGCTCCGGATAGAGTGTCAATATCGATTGGAATTTTTTATAAACTCAACAAGTACTTTACGGGATTACACTACATATAACATTCATTATGCATAAGTTCTTTAATGTTTCTAATCATCCTTGAATCGTTATATGTTACAGATGCAATATTACTGCATTTGTCTGTGTATTTAAGCTCACAAACTTCACTCTGGAGGTTTAGTCTCGAGAGTGTAGGTTGCTTCATAACTTCGTTCTAATGAGAAGTTACTTCTATGCCGACGCCTTTATTCATGCGTTGTATAACTCCATTGCCAGCGCTTCTTTCGTCTTTCGGTTTAGAAAGTTTTGCTTTCTATGTGTTCCCTTCACATGGTTTCATAATATTCAGCGTTGTTCTTGCCCTGAATATTACACAGCCGCCGTGTTCTTTTCGCACTCCTACTTCACCACTTCCAGATCTTTTGTTTGTTTTTGCCCTTTAGCTTTTCGTGTTTGGTTATTCTGACATAGATAGGCGCTTCGTGATCTAGTCAGGTTACTCAGGTGTTCTTTCTTCCTCTCTTCTATGATGTTGCCGGTTTCTCCTATGTAGTTGAAACCACACTCACGGGGTTGGGTGTAAATCCAGCCTTGTTGGTGGGATTTCAGCTCAGTGATTTAGACGCGCACCATCTGATTCCTTAATGTTGTTTGAGATAAAAGTACTAGCTGTATTCCGCACTTACGGACGATCCTCCGTAGCTTCTCGCTTATATTTTGTGCGCATGGGAAAATGGTGTACTTAAATCCGGCTTTGCACTTCTTGCTTTTCCGTTCAAACTCTTCCTCTAATGTCTGCCGATTTCCTTTTCAATTAATTTTCTAGGGGAGCCATTGTTTCGGAGAGCTCTTCGAAAGTAGGCTAGTTCATTTAGGGTACCAATCGTCTGAACTCAACTCGAAACAAATGCTGACTAGATTGTTAGCGATGCTTTTTTTCACGCAATATGCGTGGTTCGAATCGAGTGGCAAGAATTTACTGATAATTGGCCCGTGAAACATCTCAGTAATGTACGTGTTTCCCTTAGTCATGATTTATCCAAGGAAAGTATCGAGCTGTTTTGTCCTAATTTATAGCGAATATAATTTTTCATGGATATAAGGTGTTAATGCGATCCAGTAAGGGCTTCTCTGTCTCTTTTTCACAAATAGCGAATATCCCATCAATGTCCCTTTCTGAGCAAAATGTGATGGATGCTTCTCTTGCAGCTGGTAAATGCTAGTATTTCCAGATGTTCCATTAAAAATTCCATTAAAACTGGTAACCAGAGTGAACCCATAGATTAACCGTTGGCTTGTTGACATAGTTTGCCATTGAATTTGTAAGAACCATAGTCAAATCCATTCGACAAAACTTTCAAACATCGATCATTTTTATCGACGGTAGTACAGCAAATAATCTCAAATTGCGCATGCCAAAGATTCCGGCGAATTCACAAAGAATCTTCGTCAGTTGGAAGCAAGAAATGTCAATTATTGTCAGTTGCGACGTCAAGAGTTTGTTCACCAGCTTACCACTCAATAAGATATTCACTTTGATAGGAAAAAACACGGTGGTGATACAAAGTCAGCAAAGAAGACTATGCTGGCAGTTACTGCAACTAGTTTAAATGGAAGTTTGATTTATTGATTTTGAACAAAATGGTTATAGCTGACAACGAAAAACAGTCGCATGAACCACAGAAAAATTACTCTGCTTTTCTTAAAATCTTTGCGAGTATTCCGCATTTCTAAACGCGAGCCGTTTCTAGGCACGGCATATCTAGTTTGTAATTCGGCAAACGGTAAACGCATAATTCCGCAAATTCATTTCGATTGTGTGTGATCATTTTGCATGAAATTTTTCTGATTCAGCAGCTGTACGCGCTAAAAAAATCAAATATGGAAAATCGTTCTGTTAAGATCCTACTGTTTTGATTAATTGACAGCTACTTTGTTCAGGAAAAAATAATTTTGTTAAAGGCTGCAATCAAATCAACAGTTTGTGCTGTGTTGCAAATTCTTCAAGCTTCACCAACAGCATATCATCATCATCGTCATCATCCCCGACCGCTTCTCCTTTCGGATCACGGAGATAGACACGTCAGACAGTGCTTCAATCGTCGCCGATCCTATACCAGAATCTGAGCTTCAGCAGAAGACAGCTGTAATCCGGGGAATAGTTTCCTTCTATATATTCTAAAAGCATATCATTTGGCATAAATATTTAATCTTACCGACTGTATGTTGTGCTACAGCAATCGATTAGAAAAAGTAGCAATAATCTAGGATTACATGGTTAACTTGATTAGGTTCTTCGGAGCACCAAATGCAGCAGGTGGTAAACCGTTTGATGACAACGCGTTTTACTGCACAGATCGCAGCATCACCAGGACTTGCCTGAGTACAATTGACTGCTCGTAGGCATTTATATCTAACAATCAAACAATGCCAATTTTTCAAAACTTCATTAACTTAACGGAACAAAGTGTAATATCACATTAAAATAAATCAAATCTTTGTCACTTTGACTTGATCTTGTGTATCAGTTTTGTGATTACACCCCAGCTTCCACTGCTGGCAATGGAAGATGTATATTCCCTGTTCGCTTGTTGGACATAAATCTCTCCAAGCAGTCAATTGAACTCAGTCCAGCTCTGATGATGGTGTATTCTGCGCAATGAAACACGCTGACATTAAACTGACTGCTACATTTGGCACCTTAAACAATGAACATAACTATCCAATAATCAGAAACCTGAAGAATTATGTAGCATAGGATTATGTTGTTTTCGTCGAGGCCCCTGGTATTTTTGAAAGTAATTCGTTATATCTTCATGATGCTACTTTCAAATAACGATTGACTCCTCAAAAAGCAGATTTTATAGCGTATTACGTCGATCCTATGCTCCTAGAGGCCCAAAGAGCCGTTTAAGTGGACCAGGTCTCTCTGGTATTTCAGCAGCTGTAGTGCCATTAGCATATCGCGTCATTGTCCGAGCCATCTTGCGACCATTATTAACGACGTTCCAGAAGCTACGCCAGGAAATGTGGTCTTGCATGAGTCATTCGTCATTGGACATACTCTGGTGTTAGAGCAGCTGTTCCTGGAAAATAGATTTATACCCTTAATTTAAAAGGAAACTTGAACAAAATGATAACTAATTTGAAAATGGTAACCTTCGATATCAATATTATTAGACAAGTAGACCAAGAGATATGGACGAGCCGACTATCAGATTGATGCAACACTGTCCCACAGAAAAGTGAAAACTTCTGAATGTTTTTATCCTGATTTCCTTTGAATCATCGAGCAAACGCTGAACCCCTTTGAAACGGCTGTGCTGTTAGCGACAGGCTTTCATCTCGAGTAGTAGGTTTTGTTCCAAAGAAGTTGCAAAGGGGATAAAGGAACTGCCTTTTTTGGATTGCAAATATCAGCTTACTTAAATCTTTTGTATCTAATATTAAATGGCTTATTTCGGATTCATGGAACAACATCTGTTCATCTGCACAACCGCTGTTAAATCCAAAGCAAGATTCGCAATAGTATTGCGTCTCAACGTGGCAAGCAAAGTTTGGAAAGGGTGAAGTTTTGAGTAGCTGACCTCCCATTTTTTAGATAACAAGCTCTTCTTTTGTGCCGGCACAATGAATTCATCCTAATGTACCACTGAACAAGTGAGTTTTAGCACGAGAGGGCAAACGTATTGTGATGAGTATGTAATTGAAGATGTGAGTTAGAATGGTACTCATTTATTTCATAATTTAATTACTAAATGGGAAGCCATGTGTGGCTGACATTGTTAGTTTCTTTCTCCCTGTTGGCTTTTCTTTTCGTTCGCTCCATCGTAACCGCCTATAAAATTTCTTTGCCAGTTGACTTCTGTACAAACGACGATGCATCATATTATACGGCGTGGTTCTTTAGAATGCTGTGTTTCGCCGTTCTTAAGAACTGATGATTTGTGTTAAATTGTGAAAAATGCGTTATTTTGCTTTCGGTCACCCGTCTTGTAAGCAGCGGCTTTACATGATTTAAATCCATGAATACTTTGATAAATCCGCCTTTTGTTTTTCAGTGTTCGCTTGCATGTAATGTCCATAATTCACAGCAAATCAGATCAGATATATTAAGGACTTTACTGGGTAACGTTCTTTCAAGAATTCGTATCTACTGCGAATTAACTTACCCTAGAAAGTTGTGAAATAAAACTTTGGAATTATGATAAAGGTTATGCTGCGTAAATTCATGGTAAGACACATTGACAAGAGTATTATACATTCGAGAGCACTCAAACTGTAAAGATTAAGAAAAGTTAAATAGCACCAGAGTTTTCAAAGTGCATCACCAGTCTGTTTCAGTCCATTGCTGGATGAAACCTTCTCGATATCTTTGCCATAAATTTCTGTTTTCTGCGATTTTCATCCGTTTTGATCTAGAGAACTTGCTTAGTTCATTCTACCATCGATCTACAGGTCTTCCTACGGCGCCACACGCTCTCTCCTTTAATTCAGTCAGTCCTTCTCTAGTTCATCTATGGCTGATTGTTTTGCAACGTGTCGGGACATTGTAACTCTCATTTCTTCACTCGGAGAATGGCATTGCAGACTCGTGTTTATGCACTCATCCGTGCATTTGTCTCCCATTTTTGTAGCTATTCCAAACACACATCTTTCCATGCTGAATTGCGTAGTTTGCAATTTATAAATGGCCTTTACACACCTTTCGGATTCATTTAGCACTTGGAGCACGTACCGATCGATAATTTTCTGTTTCAGGTAAAGTGCACTTTGTCAGATATGAACGTCTTCAATCTTCCAAAAGTGCTCTGTGCCGTTTTATTCTTTTGTTGATTTTATCTAATCGATTCCATGTTTCAGAGGTGGGCTGTCTTAGATAGGTATAGTGCACCTTTTCAAGATTGAGTCCATTGATGTCAACAGTTCGCGTGATCACGTATTTGCTATGCATGAACTGAACTTTCTTCAGGTTAATTTTCAGTCTTATTTTGATGCTTGTGGTGTTTAGCTCTTGAACTCTTTGATGGACTTCTTCTGATCATTTTGAAATGATCAAAATATCGTCCAGAAATCGCATATGCCTTAAATAGTAGCTTTTTATTTTCAACAACTGATTTTTTCAACGGAGTGTCATGTAAACCTCTTCTAGAACTGCTCTGAATAACGTGGGTGATATCGCTTCACTCTGTCGAATGTGGGTTTCGATTTTGAACTCGATTGTAATTTTGTGAAGTTTCACAATAGTAGCTGCAGATGACAATGATGAAGTCTCTTCTGTTTCTTTAATCGACACTCTGGACTCTCAACGAATTCAATGCGGATCGAATGTAGACTTAGTCGAAATTCTTATCAAAATCGAGGAACTCCAAACATGAGGGAAGCTGATATTCGTTGCTTCCCTGAATCTTTCAGTGATCTAGAGACTGTCCATCGCGTCATTCACTGTAGAATCCTTGTTGCTTCTTAAGCTGTGCTGCGTCCAGTTTTCTTGAAGCCTGTTCGTTAGTACCTTCGTGAAGATCTTGAGGATGATTGGTAACAATTTAATAGGCTTTAATCCTTAAAATCCTGTCTATTATTCTATTTTTGTGGCGTAGAATTGCAGATGCGGTCGTTCAAATGCGGCCGCTCAAACTGAAACGTATGGGAAGTCAACAGTTCCATTCTCGCTCGCTCCCTTGCTAACTCTAGCGGCTGAAGAAAATCTTCTGTCACTCTTCATTTGAGCGTATTGCACCAGGTTGAATCTTTTGCGCATTAAAGTACAATCGAGAGCATCTGTTCATTTGCTATTTGATTTTTATGTCTGTCGAGCGAGCAGCTGAAAACAAAGACACAGTTCTTAGCATAGGCAAGTAAACAATTACAAATACAAATCATTTTGAATTTTCAGTTCCTTCCGACAGCATGAAAGCACGCGCTAACATCTTGGTCAGTAGTTCATCTCAAGTTTCCACCAGCTTCACTTCACTAGAATCCATTCGTCGCTTTGACAGCCCTAAATGCAAAGAATATAACAACAAAGAATTCACCCAGCTTGATTTAATAAATTCAATTTATAACTGAGCGGTTAAATTGGATTGAATCAATAAAATTGGTTTCTTTAAACAGAGCGCGATGTATTTTGTTCATCGGCATCAGCTACTGCAGACGATTTCATCATCCTATGCAAGCGCGCAGCCATCTTACTTTGAAAATGATCTCGTAAGGAACGCGTCGCGAAATCAGCATTCACCGTCAACTGCATTGAGTGATGTCTAAGTGGCGCGTTTGTTGTTTTATACTCTAGTATGACAACTAACGCTCGATTAACGATCGCTTCTGAAATTTTTTTAAAGTGCCAATAAATTACAACAGGGGAAAAGAATAAAGTTACGAGAAGGGAACAACAGAAATGAAGATTCTTCCAGAAACTACTGGCATGACGTAACTAGTAAATCTTCCGAAAAACGGCCTTCTGAAATAGTTCAGCTTGGCTGTTGTTCTCTTTTCAAGTCTGCAGATCGCAGTTGCAAAGATCTAGACATGTCATTGTAATTCAGGATGTGAGACTAACGAAAGATACTCTTTTAGAAAGGCTAGTGAAAGACGACTAAAGGTCAAACCGAAGACATGTAAACTTATTTAATTTAACGCCTGGATAGTACTTAAGATTTTCACAAACAAATTTGTGAAGTTACCCTGATGATGGCTTTTGCATCAGAAGCCAAGACATCGGATTAAAACAAAATTTTAGACACGTTTAAAATCACTGTGCTGCGAAGGATGGAAAGTTTAAAAATCACTGATAAGTATTGAAAATTGAGTTCCTTACCCAACCTCAATTTGTGTAATTTACAGTTATTGGTTACTGTCAAAGTTTGATGGTAACTTTGCTCTGTTAATTGATCTATCTTATTCAGAAATTAAACCTGCCTATCTTTTACAAGTATTCTGTTAATTCCATTCAAACGTAATCGTTTTGTTGCGTTCGTTTTGGAAACCGCTGTTTCAGATCGTTATATTTTATAGGTACTCCAAAATGGCTATGAGTAGAAAAGCAAATGTAAGCACTTTTTAAATGTTGTTTACTTTTCAAGCATTCTTTGACGTTGTAATTTACCATTTTCTCTCGGGGTTTGGGAATGCTTGATTTCTGTCGCTGCAGCAGGTAGAATCAAGTTCATACCTTCTTTCAGTTATTTTTATTTTTGATGTTAGAGGTGGTAAATCTCATTTCCATGGGATATATTGTATTGCTTTGGTGCTAATTGATAATTTCGAGATGATGGTTTTCCAGGTTTCTTAACTTTATTGCCAGCTAAACCCTCGATTTAAATTTGACTCGTTAATGCTGTTCGTGCTTATTACAAAATGTTAATGGATCCAAGGAAAACCCGTTTTAAGTTTCTAGATATGTTTAGAACTTTATGAGAGTTAACTACTGATTTGCCTTACTCCCCCATCCATGTTGCATTTGCCAGATGTCAAATTTTTGTTTGGTTTCTTTACTTCTCCATAAATTCTTTACACTGTTTTGTTTGTTTCATGATTTAAGTTCTTTGCATATTGCAACTTCTGCTTGGTTGATTGCCAGTAGCTCGGAAGCGTATTGATGTTGCCGATGGCTGACCACCGAATTACTCTCTGGGATACCTCTTGGAATGACATTAATAGCGGTTGATTGGCCGTAAAAGTTCGACTGTTTTGTACACACATCTGATCGATGCTTCAGGTTGTTATTACAGAAATGGTTCTCTCGAGCAACAATAATTTCATTGAAGTTTAACTGTGGATGACTATCTGAGATTTCGTAGCATTTTAATACGCAGTTAACGATAGTAAGTTTATGCCTAGCAGCTTGTATAGCAGAACTTGCTTTAAAAATAGCTTATGGTTGTATTCTTTGAAGAGTAGGGTCTAACGGGAAAATCGACAACCGCCGACCGTAATTCTGTCCAGAAATGACATGAGAAGTCATAAATCTTCTCCTTGAATGAGGTTTTATTTGGATTAGTAAATGTTTGAAATGCCTTAAGTTCAAAGTAGTGGTTATGAAGTATCACTGATGTTAATGTCCCTTCAAATAAAGTCAAGTTTGTAACCTACTAACCTAGTTGCGGAAGGTAAGGAACAATTTAAGCTGTACCAACCGCTTTGACGGGGGCATTCGTACCCTTAGCAAAAGTAATTTACAATCAGTTGGCATGCGAGTAGAAAAACGTTGATGAAATGTCATCCTCTCTTTACATGGATGGGGAAATTTCTACAGTGACTGCCTTTCTGACTTTATTCAGTATGAACAGTACAGGTGAAGCTCTGCTGTTGGTTAACATTTTCTTTGATGCGTTTATGTAGACGGATATTAAGTTATGGCTAACGTTGAAACTTTCCGTGCTGCAATCGGTAGGCACCTACACGAAAGTCAGCAATTATCTGGGAATAGGATCACATTCTTCATCGGAATAAACGTTGCTTTTATAAACAAACAGCCTTCTCGTTGGAGAAAAGGCGCTCCGACACCTATATTTTTCAGTCATATGAATAACAACTTTTAAGCAGCATTTTGATGAAGAAGCTCATTTCATGACCTCTGCTTTAGGTTGCTTTTTTCCACCCTGTATTTTGCTGCAGTAGAAAGTTTTTGTTTCGTTCAAAACATTTCTTTTGATTTCTGAAGAGATCGCTATTTTACAGGTCAGGCTTCCGCCAGAAGTCAATCGGATTCTTTATATCAAGAATTTACCGTACAAAATAACCGCGGAGGAAATGTATGATATTTTTGGAAAATACGGCGCCATTAGGCAAATTCGAGTGTAAGTATTGTTATTGATTTGTAGTATATAATATTCTGATTATTATTTGTGACGTTGTAGGCTGAGTCTGTAGGCTAGTTTTCGCATGCTTGTGATAACATTTTTGGGACTGTTGTTAAGAAATGCCTCAAAACGATTCTGATTCAGTTTTTTTCATCAGCGACCGAATCACTGTCATCATCTGTCCGTATGGTTGACTGTTCACTAAAATTTCGAATGTGTTTTCATGTGTGAATGAAGAAGTTGTCCTTGAATCCTTCCATCCAGTTTTTTTCTTTCGAGAAGGACGCGCCTGGTTGGTGCGTTTGGACTGTTGTCCTGTTTCCCACTACTTCCTCAGCTTTATGATAATTCTGCATATTCGTTTATTTTCTGACTTGTTTACTACTGATTGCATATAACGCTAGATTGTCACGACTGCCTGTAATTTATCACATGTTAATGATGATGACTTTGAAACATTTGAAAATTTGGCATTACAGGTGTTTTGTCATGTTCTTAGAAAGTACCGAGTTGTTATCTTCTGCGAGTATAATAATGATGAGTTTTCAACAATAACAACGGACTCATTTAAATGCCAGGCGAGCTCTATTCGTCCTTACGTCGTTTACATTTCCTACGATGTGCACATGCAGTGATACAAACCGCCTTCGTACGCAGTCTATTTTTCCCGCTTTCTGACATAGTACAGTAGCCATCAAAAATTGCAGAGCTTATATTTATTCCGTTGTTTCATTGTTTCATTATGATTTTAGTATTTAGTAGTTTCACATGCTCATTTCAAGTTCATGAATTGTTTTGTAACTGTGATGATGGGCACTGTTCATTTTGTCCGGAATGTCTGTTTGCTATAACAGTCTTTCCTCTAAGCTCTTTGTCCCTTCATCCCAGTGAATGGAAATATTCTGGTTCTTAAGCACAACTCAATGCAGTAGGCTTTGCATTTGGTAAAGTTCTTGTTTGTTGAGACCTTGCGCCGTTTCTATAAGCAGAACGTTTCTGGTATGTAATATTCACCCCATTCTCAGCCTTTCAGCATGTTCGCAAAGCACCCATTACTACATCTTTGAAGGAACAATTCCTATGCAGATGCGGATTCACCTCTACCTTCTTCATCCACGTTGCATGCTGGCTTCCAGGTCGACGTCTGCCATATTTTATTTCCATAGGAGAAACTCACAGATTGGAGTGAAGTTTATTCTCAACCGATGTGTTCCAGGGTCAGCCTCATCTCTCACCAGTCTCATCAGTCTACACATCTATGAAAGTCACGTTTGCCCGGAAGAGAATCGAGAAATATCTTTCTTGGTCTTGCTATTCAACCCTCATTATGGATCGAGCCCAAAGCAGTTATGCGTCGTTCAACAGTCGTTCGTGTTCCTTCGTCGACGACTGCCTACATGTTAAAGAGCATCAGGCAAGGTATAGGCGGATTTCGGAACTTTATGCACAGCGTATCTCCTTTCTCAGCCCAAATATTGGGCAGGTTGCCTAAAGCACTGGGAGCAAGGCCGGTCCTCCTATTTAACTCTAACTGGCTGTCACGATCGCTTCAGGTTGTGGACCCTATGCACTTATATTTGTGTACTTCCTTTACTGTTTCGTCTACCTGTTCCACTTGCGAATCTGTTGTGCTGAAGGGGTTGCTCACGAAGTTTGACTTTTGGGGCTGTCAGGTGACGATACCAGCTTTGCGTATTCACCAGGGTAAAATCATCTGCTTATTTTATTTCAGCAACATATCTGACTATATACTTTGCACTATGTTTTTCCTATTGAATGACACCGCAAGAAAAGTATTAGCAGTATTTCGAAGAAGAAAGTCGTGAAATAATGCTTACTAACAAAGGCAAGAGGCGAAAGCATATCTCCCTGCCAAACTATATGCATTTATTAGGGAACCATTAACATAGCTCTCCTTTTAATTTAAGGGCAGACGTCGTTCTTGCTTATATCTCTCAAAATGGTAACGATGAGCTTTGCTATTTGATAGCATTTTAAGATTTTACACGTGGTTGCGCAATGTATTGAATCAAATGCAGCCTTGAGATCGAGGAAAGTTGCTAGCCGAGCCACCTGAAATTTATCTCCTAAAGCCCTACGTTACCGTTGTTATTGTGTTAGAAGGCTGTTCGGCCATGTTGTAGCATTTAGTTTTCTTTTGTATTCGGGTGCGTTGTGTATTTCTTATCCTGTTTGATTCTCCCGGCCAATATAAGACCGTTTCCAGCGGAGTTAGGTAGTAAATAGTCTACTGATCGAAAAATGCAGATTATTTACGCGTTTGTTCTTTTGACAGATATCGCTCTTTTATGGTTGAAAACGATTAGTTGCGATAGCCGATGGCCTCGTTGAGGAGCGCCATAAACTTGCGAAAGTTTTTGGCATTGTTCGAAATGACCGTCGTTTATTGTTATGCATTGTTTAAAGAGTTGAAGAAATTAGGATCGGCGCGTTTGAATTTAGTGGTCGTTCTTTATGTGCTTTGTAATGGCAGCTATTTGACTAACTACGAACTACATACTGGATGGCCCTTTTTGATTCACCGAATGTGTCTTTTTTGTAGGTTTAACTTCCTCACCATGTTGTTAGGTGTACTGTCGTGGAGTATGTGAAGCACGTATTGTACTGAATTATCAATGATTGTTCTGCAGCTGCAATGGCCAGCAGTTTGTACTAGATGGTTTAATGCTTGCTCACTGGACTAGAAATTTGTTAATCGAAGGGCACTCTTGACACCATGTTTTTATCAAAAATCAAAAATAGTTTTGGTCATTGGTCATCGAGTAGATCAAATATCTTCGTTCATCACTGAGTTTGAGAAATTCAATTTTGTGGTTGTAGCAGCTTTGATTCCTACTGATTTTTTCTGTGAAGCGGTTAACAGAATGAAAGATGTAAAGGATACTGAATCAAAGTTTGATCTGGAGGATTTCTTCTTCAGGTGACTGAATGCTGTAATTTCAGGAAAAGACGTCTTGTTGAACGCATATAGCATGGATGCAATCTGGAATCCAGAGCCACACCGGTTTTCAAGTTCAGCTGGTAAACCTAGCATCTAATGGTTGGAAAATTGTTGGGTTATTCAAAGCAGATTTTTTGTCATCTTTATGTTTAGCCGCATAGCACAGACCTAACCCGCCCAAAATGTATTACATACATATATGTTTCTGACATCCGTTCAGTTCTTAACAGTTTGTTTACTGTCCCTTGCGTCCATCAAAATCTTTGCTTACGGCACATATTCATGCCTTTTTTTTCGTTAATGTTCTGCGTTATTAACCCTTCTTCTGCATTCAGTGCCGCGTGTAACAATTATCTAGGTTTGTGCAGTGCGCCGTAGCAAACTTCCTCGAATCTTTTGTTCCCGGAATGTTGCTGATATAACCCACACCGTTATTGAAAATTTTCACCCGTGTTCTGGTGCGTGTAAGCCACAAATTGTATGCCGTTTCTGACGCTGTTGTGATTAGCAATGGCTGTTTTTATTTATTTCAATTAAAGCACACGCTGCTTGGACCCGTTTTCACGGTTCACTCGGAAGTTTGAAGTTTGTTATACGAAACAACAGAAAGCAGTACTAAATTTGAATTGACATATCTAATTCTGTCGTGCCATTTTACGACACCAGGAAAGGCTCCACTGAAACGACATCAACAGTGGAGCTTATAGTCGGAAATTGGAATACATCCTCACGCAGAGAGAAAGACCAAGAGCTAGTTAATGAGGCCACACGGAACAAACTCGACATAGTTGAGCTTTCGTCAACGAAGCGCTAAGGCTGTGGAAACCTGAGCCTCAGTGGGTGGAAGCTATTCTACTCAAGTGTCGACATCACGATGCGCTCAGGCCTGTGTTGGGGTTCTAGTAGCACCCAACCTGGCTGATAGAATCATTGAATGGAAGCCTATCAACGGAAAGGTCGCAGTCCTCCGACCGAAGCTACAGTCGGACTTACAGGTCTATGGCCCATTTCGAGGGAGAATATAACTCCATCTTCGAGGAATTGGAGTGTGTTCTGTGCAGATTGCCGAATACAGAGTTCCTCATTGGAGTAGAAAGGCGTGATTGGGAAAAACGGCCCTAGCGCCTTCACCAATAACGTTATGAGATTGTTGCGGTTCTGTGCAAACAACGGATTGTCCATTATGAACACCTTCTTTGAGCATCGAAAAGTGCATCAGTACACCTGGTACCGGGAAGCTTGTGCACAGAAGTCGACGATCGAATTAATAATCGTCTCGTCTGACCTAAGACGCTCAGTAATTAATGTTCGCGTTAAAAGAGTCGCAGAGCTGTCAACCGATCATCACCTTGTTGTTGGCACGCTGCGCTGTAAGAAATGGAGTACCATACGAAGATCTGGTGGCAGAAGCAACCAGAGAAACAAATGGGAAACATTATCTTCAACACATACGAGAGCAAAAATTGCAAACAACATGGTACAACAGTTTCAGCACATCGTTATGATGACCGCAGATACAGAAACTGAGTGGAAACTCTTTAAAAGAATGGTTTTCTCGGGGCTTCCGCCGAACGCAGCGGTTTCAAGCGGGCTGACTTGCCGCCTTGGGATCAAAAAAGAACTTCCTGGTAGACATGAGGTACGACTGGCAGTTAGAGAGAAGAAAGCTGCATTGAAGAAATGGCTTGGATGCAAATATTCTACAACTTGCATGCGATATGAAGAAACTCGCAAGGCGGCAACGAAAGCTGTGGCGGTAGCCAAAGCTGATTCATTCGAGAACTACGGTGAGGTGTGGCGTTGGAATCGAATTTCCAGACGATAAACAAGGTATTCTGGCAGATCGTCTTCCAGCTCTGAGGTGAAAAGAAGGGCACTCTAAGATTACTGGGCAGACTTGCCGAGGATGAGGACATTTTTCAGCGATGAGCACCCTACTTTGAGGAACTCTTTTACCCTGAGCATCTGCATAAAGACTCACCTGTTGGGCCGCACGATTCGGATATTAGTATTTCTGTAGAAGTCACACAAGCTGTGAAATGCTTGAAAAGTGGAAAGGCTGCTAGTATTGATGAAATTCGCCCTGAAATGCTTAAAAGAACAGATGAACAGGGCATGTACTGGCTTACACGTGTCTGTCAAGCAATGGCTACTGGAAAGACACCAGCATACTGGAGAACGGGGTTTGTTATACTCCTGTTCAAGGAACGGCACCGTAGGATGTGCTCAAATTATTTGGGCATTACCTTATTGAGCCTCCCAAGTAAAGTTTACGCAAAGATGCTAGAAAGGAGGTGCCGCGGAATAACTGATAACTGACTCCAAGATGCGAGAAGAGCGGTATGGTTTCCAGCTCGGTCGAAGTATCTTTGACCATATATTCGATAGGCGCCAGATTGTTGAGAAACCATGAGAGTTCGCCCATCCGGTGTATGTGCTTTGTTGACTTAGAGAACGCCCACGACCGGATCTTACGCAACAATCTGTTGGCATGTCTGCAAACATGTGGGGTCGATGGCCAGTTGCTACGAGCCATCCAGTCACTATGTTC